CCGGCCCCAAGGCCCTCCCCAACCCCCCCTACATTACCCCTCCCCCCCCGGTAGATTACCCCTCCCCCTACCGTCCCGCCCTTTCCACGCCCCTCACCCCGAAACCGCCCTTTCCCTCTGGGGCCCGCCCTCTATCAGCCCCGAAACCTACTGATTTCTAACCACTGGACCCCTTTAGCCCCTTACAAGTGTTAGAAATGATTCCCCACTCAAAACTTTTTATCTGTTCTTTTCCCCTTTCTCCTCCTCACCTCATGTTACTTTTTACACTTGGATTTTTCTCTTTCTCCGTCTCCTTTGACCCTAATTTTAGCAAGCTTTCCATCCACCCACATGTTGTTTTGTGTCTTACCTATCCTTATTTTTTTTCCCCAGGATACTTTTACTAAACTCTTTCAAACATGCCAACAGACCTTCACATTTTCTATACCACAAGCATCTTCTCAGTGTTTTCTGAGTTTAATTTTGTGCAAGGGAGAATTGAGGCCCAGTTTTGGCACCACCGAGCCTAGTTCACGTCCTACTCGTCCTACAACTGTCCCTTATCCCCCAATCCCTTTTTTTTTTTTTTTTGCACTGGTGCCTTTCACCTCCCTGTTAGTCATTTCTGTTTCATCATAGCCTGTTTAACCTTTCCTCACTTTATTCTTTTCCTTCCCCCAACTTTAAGTTATCTTTTTCTTTTTAGACCAAGATCACTCCATGGATGAAATGACAGCTGTGGTGAAGATTGAAAAAGGAGTTGGTGGCAATAATGGGGGCAATGGTAATGGTGGTGGTGCCTTTTCTCAGGCTCGAAGCAGCAGCACTGGCAGTAGCAGCAGCAGTGGAGGAGGAGGAGGGCAGGTAAGTGATGATTTGGACAGAGTGAGGAAGGTGTTGAGAGGATGTAGATATTCTTAGGTGATTGTCTTTTCACAGAAGAATTTTTAGGAAAGTGCTAAACCATTTTATAGATTGGGAAGTAAGCACAGAGACAGGTGACTTGAAGATCCCCAAAGATGAGAATTTCAGTAGTACAGACAGGTCAGGTTTTTGTTTGTTTTTTATTTATTTGGGGTTTTTTTTTCTCTTTATTTGTCTGCACTGTTTGGCTGGTTGGGTTTTTTTGTATAGTGCCCCCTGGGCTGGTAGTTGGGTGTCATTAAACTCCCTCCTTTCCTCTCCCTTATTTCTGGCCAGGAATCCCAGCCATCCCCTTTGGCTCTGCTGGCAGCAACTTGCAGCAGAATTGAGTCACCCAATGAAAACAGCAACAACTCCCAGGGCCCAAGCCAGTCAGGGGGCACAGGTGAGCTTGACCTCACAGCCACACAACTTTCCCAGGGTGCCAATGGCTGGCAGATCATCTCTTCCTCCTCTGGGGCCACCCCTACCTCAAAGGAACAGAGTGGCAGCAGTACCAATGGCAACAGTGGCAGTGAGTCTTCCAAGAATCGCACGGTCTCTGGTGGGCAGTATGTTGTGGCTGCCACCTCCAACCTACAGAACCAGCAAGTCCTGACAGGACTACCTGGAGTGATGCCTAATATTCAGTATCAAGTAATCCCACAGTTCCAGACCGTTGATGGGCAACAGCTGCAGTTTGCTGCCACTGGGGCCCAAGTGCAGCAGGATGGTTCAGGTCAGATACAGATCATACCAGGTGCAAACCAGCAGATCATCACAAATCGAGGAAGTGGAGGCAACATCATTGCTGCTATGCCAAATCTACTCCAGCAGGCTGTCCCCCTCCAAGGCCTGGCTAATAATGTACTCTCAGGACAGACTCAGTATGTGACCAACGTACCAGTGGCCCTGAATGGGAATATCACCTTGCTACCTGTCAACAGCGTTTCTGCAGCTACCTTGACTCCTAGCTCTCAGGCAGTCACGATCAGCAGCTCTGGGTCCCAGGAGAGTGGCTCACAGCCTGTCACCTCAGGGACTGCCATCAGTTCTGCCAGTTTGGTATCATCACAAGCCAGTTCCAGCTCCTTTTTCACCAATGCCAATAGCTACTCAACAACTACTACCACCAGCAACATGGGAATTATGAACTTTACCACCAGCGGATCAGCAGGGACCAACTCTCAAGGCCAGACACCGCAGAGGGTCAGTGGGCTACAGGGGTCTGATGCTCTGAACATCCAGCAGAACCAGACATCTGGAGGCTCACTGCAGGCAAGTCAACAAAAAGAGGGAGAGCAAAACCAGCAGACACAGCAACAGCAACAAATTCTTATCCAGCCTCAGTTAGTTCAGGGGGGACAGGCCCTCCAGGCCCTCCAAGCAGCCCCATTGTCAGGGCAGACCTTTACAACTCAAGCTATCTCCCAGGAAACCCTCCAGAACCTTCAGCTTCAGGCTGTTCCAAACTCTGGCCCCATCATCATCCGGACACCAACAGTGGGGCCCAATGGACAGGTCAGTTGGCAGACTCTTCAGCTGCAGAACCTCCAAGTTCAGAACCCACAGGCCCAGACAATCACCTTGGCCCCAATGCAGGGTGTTTCCTTGGGGCAGACCAGCAGCAGCAGTACCACCCTTACACCCATTGCCTCAGCTGCCTCCATCCCTGCCGGCACAGTCACTGTGAATGCTGCTCAACTCTCCTCCATGCCTGGCCTCCAGACCATTAACCTCAGCGCATTGGGTGCCTCAGGAATCCAGGTGCACCAGCTTCCAAGCCTGCCCTTGGCTATCGCAAATGCCTCAGGTAAGGCTTCAATCTTTTGCGTTTATTTCCAAAACTACCTAGCATCTCAGCTGAAACTATTGAGTCTAACTAAGGGAGTAGAACCTTTTGAGGGTAACAGTTTCTTGAGAGCAAGTCAGTTAGAGAAACAGCAATGATTCTCTTTAAATCATTTGAAATTGACATGGTGGAAACTTTTTTATTTCTTCAGGTAATCAGATGAGAAAGGAGCACTTCTGGGCAATGTTCTTGGGGGTCTCTGTACTTCCAGTGCCTTTGGTGCTACGGAACAAGGGTTGGCAAACTTTTTCTCTAAAAGGCCAGATAGTAAATATTTTAGGCCTTGTGGGCTACATGTGATCTCAGTTACAGGTACTTTTTTGTTTGTTTTTTACAACCCTTTAAAAATGTAAAACTGTTCTTACCTTGAAGGCTTTATTTGGCCTGGGGGCTTACCCCTGTGGATAGGAATTCATTATAAACTTAACCTATTTTTAGGACAGTAAGTCATCAGATATTTCTCGTGAATTGTAAGCAAGGGAACTGTGATACAATGGATTCCAAAGGATTTTTCAACAAAGTAAGTTCCCTCGTTAATCTTTAGTTAACCAGAGTAACCTATCCTCTGAGCAAGCTGGTTAATCAAGGTTTAATTTTTTAAAATTCTACTTACCTTGAAAGTACTGATTTTTTTTTTCTAGTGTATATTTGTAATAAGCTTCCTAGGTGATTCTCATACTGCCTAGGTAATAGGAGCACTTTCTAGGTTGCTTTGAAAGTAGTGAATGGTTGAAAAGGGAGGGGAAAGAAAAGAAAGGGGAGTGGGGCTTGGAATGGAGTTGGGAGGTGGAGTTGAGAGGAGTTAGGAATAAGGAGAACTTTGAAGGGGAAAAAGAGTCAGGGAGAAAGTATATATTAGAATGTATGTTGAGTCAGTTAACGCTACTATTCAGTCATTTATTTTGAACTGTGTTCATTGTTGGTTAATTTGAAATTTAAAACATCTTTTTAAAAAGGTAAAAGTTCATTTAGAATTTGTCATTTTAAATTCCATTGTGATGGAACTAATCTTAAATAAAGCACAATAAGGATACATACACATTTTTATATTCTGGCATGATATGTAGAAATAATGATGGGAAATAGCTTAATACCACCGAACATCTACTTCTGTTGGAGTATGTGTAGGTTTATTAATTGTTTACTTTTATTATAGTGTCCTCATTCCCTTTAGGCTGGTTCTTATGTAAGAGAGGATAACAAATAGGCAACCGTATTTCCTGCCTCCTGCAGTTAAGGAAAATCCTTGGCGGGGTGGTCTGCTCACATTCCCTAACTTTCTAACAATTCTTGTAGCATGTTTAAAATGACTACATTTTGAGCCTTAAGACAGTAATTTTCTTAGTGAATTGGAGATCATGTAATAATAGAAAGAGCTGGAAGGGACATGAGAAATCATCTTATACAACTGCCTTTCTAGATGAGGACTTTGAGATACTGAAAAGCACTTTAGTGATGAGACTGCTTGCCATTAGTTCTAGTCTGATGCGTTACCTGTTAATTTTATCTTGGGAAGTGAGAAATCCTTTAGATTGTTAAAAATGTGTTAGAAAAGGTATCTTTGTTTCTTTGAAATTTAATGCTCTAGAGTTGGCAAGTGTTTTATAGGCTAAGAATTTGGGAGTAGAAATGGGAAAAGTTTAATAAAACCTGAACCCTACAGCCTGGAAAATTAGACACTTTCTAGGTAATCTACATTTGTGTGTTTTCTCTTTGCTCTTAGGTTGTTGTATCCAGCAGTTTTGCTCTTCCACAGGAAAGCAAAGCTGCGATTGTTCCAGTTAGTGTTAATTTGCAACTTTTAAAAGGTTTATAACTTAAGCCCTAAAGAACAGTTATGAAGGCACTCTCATTGCTAAATCATACTCTGGGGAAGCCTGCCATTTAATATGTCATAGGATAGAGCTACCTAGCTGTTAAACTGATGGTCTCTGAGCTTAGAAAATGCATGCCTTTCTGTAAGGTAGCAGCAGCGTGACATTGCTAAGGAGAGAATGAGGCTCTGAAAGGCCATTTTGTGAGAGTTGAGATTGCTTGCTTCATTAATAGTGGTTTCTGAAGATACAAGTTTCCTCCTTTCTGGTTTGTCAAACTTGTGCAATGTTTTTTTCCCCCTTCAATTGATCTGACTTTATCCGTAATGAAAGAGAATAAAATCATTTCCTGGAACCATAGTGCTCTTTATCTGTTGCCTGGCTGCTACAAAGCCTCTCATTTTACTCCCTTTTCTGGTATATAGTTATTTTGGAAAAACAACTTGGCAGTATGATGTAGTGGAAAGAGCCTTGGATGTGAAATCATGTTGTAAGATACAGATAAGTAGGTAGATAGCACTCTGCAAAGTGAGACATTATTATTACTTGGTTGTGGAAGACTGCAGCTTCCATGGTGTGCACTTAGTCTGTTTACGTTTTTATTATTTTTAAAAATCGTCTTTTAAAAATCTTCTAACCTCTCCTGTTGACTTTCACTGTTTACTTTTTTTGCTGAATATACACGCAAAGGCACAAACTTAGAACCAAAATAAGCCAGCCATCTCTGTATTCCTGTCTTTCGTGGCTCTGCCCCTGGTGGGTGGTAGTGAGGAAGGGACCACCCAGTAAACTGAGTTTAGTTTCCAGACAGTGAAATTATCTGTGGGCTCTTAGTTTTTGTTGTTGTTGTTGAAGTTAGTAGCTTTTTCTTTTTTTACCAACACCCTTTCCCCCTTTTCAGCACCCTTTCCTCTCATTTTGTAGTGATACTCTCGTAGATCTTGGTTTTTTGTTTGTTTTAAGCTTAAAGCTTCACATTTTTTGTCAGTCACTGCTAAATCCAGAAAACTTCCCCCAGGTTGAGGAGGGGCCGGTTTTGAAAGACTGAGTTTGGATAACTTCGTGGGAGTTCTTCCTAATAAAGAGTGCAGGGCTGGGCTTTGGCAGGAGAATAAAACATATTTTCTTGATGGCTATAATTCACTCAAGAAGCAAATTTCAGACTCACATCTGCTCAGTTTTATCGAGGTTAGGAAAATGCCTCCTCTTAGATGTTAAGTTGAATGTGATACCAGAGTTAGTTTGCCAACAGTGTCGCTAAACTTGGGGTCAGATTACTGAGACCTAATTTGTTTAAAAAAGTTGTGTTTTAGACTAGTGCATTTGAACATTAGTGATAAGTAGGTTTAGATGATTTAAATGTGTTCAAAATTACCATTCTAGTGCAAAAAGGTCATAGAAGAGAATTTTGTTTTAAAATATACTTTTATCAAATACAGCATCAAATGTTTTTGCATCATTTGCTTTCTTTCTAATATATTTGATTCTTCGAGTGTAAGTGCTTTTTCATTGAGTTCAGTTTTAAGTAGAAAAGGTCTTCTTTAAAACCTAGGTGCCTTGATGATTTGAAACCACTGAGAAGGCAGTCTTCAGACCTTTTCAGTTGCTCCTATTTATTCATTCCAGTGCCTTTCTGTAAATGACGTCACTGTTAAATCACGTTGCATTGTGTAATGTGGCCATTTTAGTTCTTAATTAAATAACACAAGAGTACAAGGGTGCCTAGTGTTTCAGAATTTAGTATCTCTTCTGTTCTTTTATCTCCTTTTCTGTTTAGTTGTTCTACTTTGTAAAGTAACATGTAAGTGTTGCCACTAGAAATTTAGTTCTTCTTGTTCCTTGCTAATTGTTTTGTTTTCCTCCTTGAAAATGTTTTAAAATGTAAGGTGAACATCTGTAGAAGTTTTATTACATAATGCTTTGTAAGTTATCGATTGAGTATCTATAAACATTAATAGATAATAATCAGTTGAATTTTTTGAATTTGCTGCTTAACTGAAAAACAAGCATATTTTTATATTTCTTGTGTCACAACAGTACTATCCTTTTCTCTAACATTTAGCATTATTATATGGGCCCTGGTGTGCTGAAGCATTATTTTAAAAGGTATTATGACCACACCGTGGGTAAGTTGTTAATACTATATTAGATTTTAATAATTAGTCCCTTTAGAAGACCCTGAAAAAGTTACTGAAGAAAGTTATTTTCTTCAGAGTTGATTGCAAATCTGGGCTGTAATTTGAATTTGTACTTTTGCTCCAGTGTTTTTTAAACTCTGAGTGGCTTATGGAAACTGGGAGGTTTTACTTGTTTGACAAGTTTGGATGTGCCTATCTAATTTGGTATGAATCTTGTCACCCTATACGTACAAAATAATAGTTTAACGATTTCGGAGAAGGTGTTAAAATATGAAATACTCAGGTCAAGACAAAGACTTGCCCTTTACAAAATGAGAGAACTCAGTTAAAATCTACATCTCTGAAAAAAATTTGATGGTTTTCATAGAAAATCAGATGTTTGCTGCAAATAATTTAAATACGGTTACATGCTGTTGAGATGGATCTTTTCAAATTATTCCGTATGTTCTTCATTGACTTGACGTTGGATTGCTTAGAAGTTACAGCTCTTTGCAAACACAGTACAATTAAACCAGACTGTCCATGCTAATAGCAATTAAACGGCACGTTGCTGGAAATGGAAACCCACATCATCTCCAGTACCCACCTTTTGACAGCCTAAGGTGTAGCAAGATTCAGTGAGTTGCCGAAAGTCACTGACAGAATTTAGAGTAACAGAGAGATTTTGACTCTCAGATCAGTATCCTTTCCACTTTATTACTACTTTCTTATCTTTTACTAGGACTTCTTTCAAGTAGGAAAATGAATTTTGTTTTTCGACCCAGTTCAGTTATTTTGAAGTGTTAAATTTGTAACCTAAAACAAATAATAGAAAAAAAGGACAAAAGGCATGGTTAATCAACAGCCTCTTTATAAACTTTGTTATGAATCAAAATTCGTTGTAACCAGAACAATTAATTTGAATTTATTAAATCTGTAATTATAGTCAATGATATGATCAACACATTAGGAAGAAAGAAGCAAGATGGCAAAAGAGAAATCAGTGACTTACATAATCATAAGCAGTTTT